AACTTCATGCAATGTATATAAGTAGTCTCGTTGATGAAATTCGCTTCCTGAACATTGTCCGACATTGTCCTACAAATGAGCTTCAATGTTGGAAAACATGAAACGTTTCAATATCATCTAAAAAAGTTATTTTTTAAAAGCACGATGCTATTAATGAATTTTTTTTGCAAAGTTCAATGCTATTAATGAAATTCGCTTCCAAAACATTGTCCTACAAATGAGCTTCAATGTTGGAAAACATGAAACATTTCAATATCATCTAAAAATATTCTAAAATAATATATTTTTTAAGTACAATGCCGTTAATAAATTTTTTTTTTTTTTTTTTGCAAATTTCAATACTGAAAACAAATTTTCCCTAGAAAATTGTCATATTAATGACCTACTAATTAACATTTAAATTTATATATTACATAAATTGTCATATTAAACATTTCCATCAATACCCAAAAAGGCATATAAATCATGCCTCATTCTGTAATTAATTTCAACGCCCCACAATGTGGAATCCTCTCAGTGGCAGCATTTCAGAACTTAAACCACAATGGATCAATATGAAGAGAAGCTGTAATAAAAAAATACTAATTGTCACCATCTTATACAAATATTACAGATTATTGGGGTGTTAGATAGCGTAATAACTTGCCAACAAAAAAATACCAACACTTTGTAGACATCACCTGTACAACATTTAATAAATATACAAAAAAACATTATATAAAGTAAACTATGGTTATGATATCTCTTCTAGGGTACATATGATGATTGAAATTAATACCAACAAAAATCTTCAATATTTAAGTGGCTCTAAATACAACTACCCTCCAGTTTTAGGGCCCTTGACTTCACCCCACTCCCAAGCAGAAACGGTCCCTCAAATACTTTAAAAAAACTTGAAATATTAAAATATACACACAAAAAGATGAAAATGGTAAAATGAACTTTCAAATATAATAACAATATTTTATAGACAGTACTACAAACAAGTTAGAAACATGCAAATAAAGATGAAAGAACATCATTATTAGATTAACACTATACACTCATTTAGTCTTATCTTTCCTCTTCCCTTATAGGAGTTTATAAAACATTTTCTATTGTATGATGGATTTCTAAATTACTTTTTTGAGATATGTGAGATTGCAAAGAATGGAACAACAAAGAAATGAAATGGATAGGTCGTAAAAGCAAGATAATGAAATAAGTAATTCCATTCTAGAAACATATTTGTGAGGCATGGAATGGAACAATGAAAATTTCATACGATTTTTATGTTATATATTGCAATTTAAATTATAAAGATAATCTTTCACATATCTTTGTTTAGTTATTATTATGTAATTAAAAATGGTTTATATGGAAACTTTTATACTAATATATTCTCTTATTGCTGAGAAAACCTAGATACTCATAATGTTACCAAGCCTATTTTCAAGAGTGCATGGTGTACCCATTTATCATTGAGAAAGTAAACTCAATAAGAAGATTCAAACCAATTAAACGAAAGAATAAGATTGTGCAAGGTTCTTACTATGCTTCTCGGTATGCCCAGACAACACAAGTTAACCAAAAAAAACCTGCTAACTAACCAAAATTAATCAATCCCAAACATTTTCCAATAAGATTTATCGATGTAATCTGTTTACATGGTATACTAAAACTTTCTTTGCTATTGAGTCTAAAAGATGTTTTTTTATAATATTAAAAAAAGGATACGTAATAACTTATTTATGAGAGCCCACTTTGTATTTTTAAAGATGTTTTTTACAATAAATTAAACCACATATCACTACTGGGTTTTGCTAAGTTGTAGAATATGTGGATCACTCAATGATATGAGGGTTTAAATTCCATCTCGAAATCCAGGAAGGGATCGAATGGGTAAAGCATTATAGATATTGACTCGAGTATATCTTCCGTTCACGACCTGGTAAGCCACAAAAAATCATTAGCTAAATGAATATACAAAAATGTAAAATAAAAAAGAAAATCGACATATACAAATTTACTACCTAGTGGACATATCTTCCAAATTGAAGTAATGGATGAGAGGTAGTGGTGCTGCTGTGTCAATCATTTTGCTCTCCAGATATCTATAACTTAAAACATCAAAATCAACAATACAGATCATAAGAACAAAAATCGAAGCAAATTCAAAAAATGTAACCATTATGGATTTAAACTTAAATCGAAAGATTTTATAGATTGGAACTTCATAGTTGAAACAGAATAAAAGAAACATAATCTAAAACGTACCCAAAATCGATCTAAACTACGACCAAATTAAATTAGAATCCAAAGAAGTTTATCTCTATATCATTCCTCCTTCTTTAATGATGATCGAACACAAGACTAGTCTACACAGATCGAAACCGACATATATTCTATTTCTTCTTTCCCCATTTTCTTCCTCTCTACAAAACTTAGGTTAGATAAATTATGTAAAGAAAAAAGGAGAGAGTGTAGGGGTACTGGTAATGAGGGATGGGATGGGGCATTTTTCATTTTATTTTTGGTGAAATTTAATTGTTATTAATAGAATTCCTAATTTAATTCTTTTTATTTTTGGTGAGATTTAACTATTATTAATAGAATTCTTAATTTAATTCATTTTATTTTTGGTGATATTTAATTGTGATTAATAGACTTCCTAATTTAAAACGTAATATATGTTTTATAAAATATGTGGACAAAAATAAAATTGTTGATAAAGATGATGTCAGCAAATAATCCAATGGTAGAAAATATAAGATTGAAATACAATCAATGGCCCTAATTTCTTCAAATTAGAATTAAAGGTTCTATTTTAATAATATTTAGAGATTTGAGTCGGTTGATTTAATTGTTTTATTTGAACTGTTATTTATTTTAATTTTAAGACAATTGTATTGTTAGTATTCCTAATTTGATCAAAGACTTAAATATTTATAGTACAATAATGTCTATGTGACATGGTCGAATCAAAAATTAGTAAGTATTAACACAATACCATTTTGGGATAATGACTTGAAAGGGTAACGAACTTTCGACTTTTTTCACATTTAGTCACTAAACTTTTTTTCGTTATCTATTTGCCATTGAACTATTGAAACTGCTCACATTTTACCCTTATGACCGGCTGTTACCGGTCATAAGGGTAAAATGTGAACAGTTTCAAGAGTTTAGTGGCAAATAGATAACGAAAAAAAATTTAGTGACTAAATATGAACAAAATCGAAAGTTGGTTTCCCTCTAAAAAGTTCAATGACTAAATGTGAACAAACTTCCTCTTGTATTATGTTTTAGCAAATTATTTATTTTTGTTAAATTGTAGCAACATTTGTTGATGAAAAAAAAAAAAAAAAAAAAAAAAAAAAAAAAAAAAAAAAAAAAAAAAAAACCTAAAAATATATTTTAAAAAAAAACAAAAAACCGAAACCGAAATAAAAAACCAATGGTTTGACATTTTCCAAAATAAAAAATCAAATTTCCAATCTAATTTGGGTTTTAAAAAAAAATGAACCATTCTCACTGATGTGAATTATAATCATTGGTTTGACATGCGGAATTTGTGACATCCCATGAATACGTAGTTACAACATCGTCTGAACTCGTAATGCATAGTAAGGGGTTAGAGTATCATCGCATGAATACGTAGTTACAACATCGCGTGAACTCGTAATTCATCACGTACAGGTTATGGGCCTGCTGGTGTTTCCAGTGGGTTGTCTAGAATAGTCCGTGGTCGGTAACTATACTCTGGTAGATGACTACATCGTCAGATTGCCGGTTAAGGTTATGGCATCTCCTTTCATCCTACATCACCTATTCACCATCATCTATTTACCTAATTATCATCACCTTTCTATCATCACCTATCTCTCATCATTTTATTTCATCACACACCAACTATTTCATCTACCCATGTTTCATCCGCAACATATTTGTAGATATAAAATAAATACACCGTTTAAATTTTTTATAACATGTATAAAATCGTTCATCCGACATAGACAACAAGTATTCAAATAATATACGCACATAGCACGTAATTTATATAAAATACTTCATATCTATGTGTAAGATGAAAGTAACTATATATACCATAAAAATCCCATAAATGTTTCCTAACTTCAAACCCCAATGTCTACTCTACTAAAGCTTCATATTCTCGGCTCTCTGGACCTAAAAGGGTCCAGATTCCTAACTTCAAACCCCAATGTTTACTCTACTAAAGCTTCATATTCTCGACTCTCTGGACCTAGATGGGACTAGATCTATAACACAAACTTGCAAGAGGGGTTTGAGGCATTCAAAACCCCAAAGATGAAATGATTCAATCCCTAACCCTAAAATGGAATCTACACAATAGGGAAGGAAAGAGGTTCATTTTTATACCTCGGAATGAAGCTCCTTGCTTGAATAACTTAGAACAATAACCTTCCTTGGTCCCTCTTGTTGGAACTCTTCTCCTTTCTTGCAAAATCACACCAAAAAGCTCAAGATAGCTCTTCCTCTTACTCTACACACTGAAGCTCACTAGGGTTCTCACTTATGGGAAAGGTAGTCGCAATTGATGGCCATAAGTGCCTTTAAATATGGCTCGGGCCCAAAGATTTAGGGTTTCTGCCAACAGCGCGGACTCGTCGAGTCCATTCATTAACCCGAGTCATAAGTGCCTTTAAATATGGCTCGGGCCCAAAGATTTAGGGTTTCTGCCAACAGCGCGGACTCGTTGAGTCCATTCATTAATCCGAATCATCAGTTGCGACCTTACTCGACGAGTTGAGACGTCAACTCGTTAAGTCTCTCTTCTTAACTCAAAAGAAAAATAATTAAATTATAATACCTGGAAATCCGGATGTTATAATTTGTTTTTTTATTTCATAGATTTTTTTCATCAACAAATGTTGCTACAATTAAACAAAAATAAATAATTTGCTAAAACATAATACAATAGGAAGTTTGTTCACATTTTACCATTGAACTTTTTAGAGGGAAACGAGCTTTCGATTTTATTCACATTTGGTCACTAAACTTTTTTTCGTTATTTATTTGCCACTAAACTATTGAAACTGTTCATATTTTACCCTTATGACCGGTAACAGCCGGTCATACGGGTAAAATGTGAACAATTTCAATAGTTCAATGACAACATTTTCACGCTAAAACATTTTGCTCATGTATGGTTTTATACATTGATTCCATTCATCAAATATGATTTTTGTCGACAAGATTTTTTTGCCATAGCATGATCAACTAAAAAACAAAAATACAACAGCAAGATCTAACTATTATCGACACATCTACAAGACAACAAAAACCCAAACACACTTTATTCTTTTATCCATTTACTCCAACCTTAAAACAAACCTCATCTTCCAAACCCAAATAAAGTCAAACCCCAAAGTAGACAAAAGTCAAACATGAGATTGATGTAACATGCTTTAACCAACTGGACATATAGCCTCCAAACTTCTTCCTAAGCATTCAATTATATCAGTTGTGAGAGTTGATCTCTTTTTATCTTCAAAAGCAACTGATGCAGCCTTTCTCATTAAAGTGGACCCCGCAATACAACCCAACATTGTTGGGTTTGCATCGAATTTCCCTTTACTCACAAGCTCCCGGGCCCACGCTACATACACTGCAACACTGATCGACAATGAAAAATAGTATTTCAATATTTCATAATAAATACTTATAACCATTATTATTATTATTTTAAAATAATATTTTGAAATAAGGAAATTACCTTCCAGAGAGTATATCACCTTGTCCACCACAGCGTCGAGGGGAGCCATATATGCTTACTGATCTGACTGCATCAGACACATTTAATTAATATATTATTTTTTAAACAGTTAAAAAAATAAATTATAAATGGATAAATAGATTAAATGAATTATAAATAAGTACCTGCTTCACCATCACTAATGTAATCAGATTGTCCTTTACGAAGAATAGTCACACCACCGATACTGCCAAAAGGATGGTGAGTAAAATGACCATTTTACCCTTCTGTTTAAGATAAGAGATTACCTTTTGGCAAGAGAGAGTAACTGTTGGGGCCCACCTTGATCATTTACTTCACAGTTCAAAACTTTGTTAACAAGACGTTTATACTCGTTTACATTTGGAGTCAAAACAGCTAAAGGATACCCTTTGACTAAGTCAACACAGTTTGTCACAAGAAATAGCCCATCCTATATATATATATATATATATATATATATATATATATATATATATATATATATATATATATAATATCATCCACAAAAATCAAATCAAAATAAATAAATAAATATCTGAACAAGTATTTTTTTTTGGTTGGAATGGAATGGAATGAGTCATTACATTCAATAAGTAAAATGTATAGTTTTTTAACTTTTAACTCTATTTTAAACATTATTTAATTATAACTACTGAACTTTTTATTTATAAAAATAAAAATTGAATGATATTGTAATTCTTCTCGTTCAATGATAGAAAGATGTGAAAGGTAACAAAATGGAACGAGTCACATTCCTTCAACAAAGTTTCATTCCTTTCCATTCCATTCCATTATTCCAATGGAATTCACGATTCCATTCCATCACACAAAATAACAACCTCACAATGCTTACCCCATCAATGACCATGGGAACATTGCTTCGCCTAGCATGCCTCATGATATCACTTACACAATCCTTCAAACATTATATCTTAAATGTTAAATCTTAAATCTTAAATCTTAAATAAATAATTAAAAAAAAAAAAAAAATCACAAACCAGAAGAAATGGATCTCTTCCAAGCCCTGGACCAATCACAAGGCAGTCAAACCTTTCCATCCACTTGTCAACTTCATCAAGAACTTTTTTTGAGATTGATGTTTTTTCCTCCTCCCTGTTTGTATTATATCTTTAAATAATTAATCACATAAGAAACTTATATATAATATTATAAATTATAAAATTAAATTGACTGACCATATATTGTAAGATTCCTCTAGCAAAGGATGTACAATTAACTCAGGACTATACCCTTTTATTACTGGAGCAGCATCTTTAGTACAAAACACATGTGATAAATCTGCACCCTGAATAAATATTTACAAGAAATAACAACCTACTTTCATTTATTTGTGTATTATAATTATAATTAGGTAATGTAATAGGAAGAAATAAAAGTGTATAATAAACAAATGAATGTTATTTCTTACATTTAATATTATTGTCCAAAGAAAAAGAAATGAAATATGGAGAAACTAACAATTTTGAGAGCTGAAATAGCAGCAAAATATGGGGCACCAGTGTACTCACGACAACCACCTATAACAGCTATTTTGCCTGATTAAATTGAAAAGATTGTCAATAATTAAATAAGAAATATAAAAATGTATGATTTACATTTGCTCTAAAAAATAAGCATCTGATGAATTTGGAAATGAAGCTCACCAGCTTGGCCTTTATGCTTAGTTGGATCAAGGGGAGGAGAAATTGACCTCAAAATACTGAGAGCATCAACTTCTAAATGGGGTCCACCAATCATCACAGATTGCATTCTTGTGCCCTTATTTACCAAAAAAAAGGTGTCTTTATTGCAGTAATCGCCTAATAAACACCTGATCAAGTGTTGTTGTCTCCTTATTATACCACCAAATGACTGCTGCATGCATATATATATTCTTTCAACTGCACAAAGAATCGAAAATTGATGAAAGAAAACACAAAAATAGACATAGAAATGTAAATTAGGGCTAGAAAAGGGGGAATTAGCAAGAACATGAAGGGGATGAAAGAGGAAAAGTTTACATACGTGAAATTTGGTTATTTACATGCAAAAATTTGGGACAGAGGAGCATCAAATCCAAATGTTTTAGAAAATTTTGAAAATATGGTCTTCGGTGTCAGGTAGCTTTGGGAGCTACTTCCAGCCAACATGTTAGAACAAGATACGTTTGGCAAAGACGAGCAGAAGCAACACATCATGTTCTCACTGTTATGCCAAAACCAAAAACAGAGAATCTTATGGAAAAACAACGAATTTTCAGGAAGACGACGAGCCCTATAAATTAGATTCGCGAAAACTTGTTTCCACCGTCGTTCTCGTTCCTACGTCGTCATCCTTCGGTCCGAGTCGAGGGTTTAAGGTTAGGGCTTGCGAAAGGGTGTGCGTTTAAGTGGCTTGTCCTCGTGGACAGGTGTTTGGGAATTTTAAAAAAAAATTTGGATAAATCGAATACTTATCAAATATCAGAAGAAATCGGCATCTGATTTCAAGGAAAGAACGGATTTCTCTTACCTGTGGAAGACGGCGGCGGTTGGGGAAACCGGTGGACAGAGGTGCGGCTAGGAAGGAGGAGCCGGAGGTGTGAGGATCGGTCGCTGGAAAAAAGAGAGAAAGAAAAAGAGTTCGGTTTTTTTTTTTTTTTTTTTTTTTTTTTTTTTAACTTAAATAGTCCTTGTGATACGTTTTTCTTATTCATTGGTCCCTAACAAGTAACAAGTATAAAAATGTTAGTAACAACTATAAAAAGACTATTTTTCCTTAAGAATTTATTTTTTAATTTATTGATTATTGATTATTATGGTTATTAAACAAAAAAACACCCCACCCCCACCTCTTCCCTCTTACCTTTTTTCCTTTCTTGCTACCATTTTATGTTTCATCTCTCCCTTTAAATGTGAGCATCTCCTACACCACCACCACTCACCACATCTTCAAATAAAAAGAGATACATATGGAAAAGCAATTGGATTTAATCATAAATACGAGTTTGAATTGGCGAGAGAGATGTGAACAAACATGGTCAAAAGGGTTTTCTTTTTTCGTCGTCGGTTGTTTCGTTTTCAGTGTGTGTGAAATAATATAAATAGAATCTATAGAGGGGGAGATCTTCGGTTGTTTTTTATGATCATTTTAAGGTCCAACAATCATGAAAAATAATATGTGAAATTTAAATAACATCTAGGTAAGCAAATAACTAAGAGTAAAACATTGAAAACATGGTATGGAGAACAAGTGTAACATCGAGGATGTTTCTTATTTCGGGATATCGGACCGTAATTAGATCAAGTAAGAGTCTCGGGCTTCAAGGGATGAACTTTAGACCTTATTTAATGTTGATAATGTTGGTTTAAGTGATTTAAGCCCTTGAAATTATGTATTGGAGCCAAGGGGTAAAATGGGAAAAGTGTATTTTGGATTTTTTTTACATGTATTAATGCATTAAGTTATGTATGCTTTAAGTCAAAAGTAATTGGATAAAATTATGGGGCTTGTTAATACTTTCGCATGTATACAAATATCAACGGGTTTAAAATGAAGTCGTTATGAAATTTTGAAGCTAAAAATGAAATATGTGAAATGCATCACCACGATGTGGTGAGCTATGCAGCCCAAGTCCATAAAATTAGGTTTCCCCTCGTATTTAAAGACTCTACCTCTATGTTTTAGGTTATTTTACAAATGCCATCACATCAAGAGCTCCAAGGAAGCAAACAATAACCTCTTTTTTCACAACTTTCATCTTTTCTTTTCTCCTCTCGTCCATTAATGGTGCTTTTGGGTAATTTTGGTGTTGTAGCTTGCAAGATTGTCTATGGAGCTTGATCCCTGAAGAAACCAACCTTCATTCACACTCTAGACCTTTGTAAGTCACAAAGTTCCATGCTTTATTGAGTTTTACCTTTGGATCTATGAGTATCTTGTATTTTGATTCATCTTGTCATGTTTTGGTCCCAAAACCTTGTGTTCTTGGAGTTTGATGAACTCTAGAACTTCTAAGTGATATATTTAGCTTCTAGACCTTTGTGAATAAAGCAATGGGGTTTGCTTTGAGTTTATGCACAAGTTATAACCTCTTAAATTGCTTTATATTATAACGCATAGTTTTTCACACTAGGTACACCCTAAAAATACATTTTCTCATTTAGGATTTGTAAAACATTTTGGTGTACACTAACACTCTGGAGTACAAGAAGCTATCACCAGGGATTGTACTGGCGACAAGTATAAGATTCGAGTCGGGCGTCACAATTAACTACTTACAAAACAACCGCAAATAACACATCGTAAGCCTCACGACTAAGTGAAGAACAACTACAATAGAATATAACACATAAATTCACATATATGTCACACATATATCAAACAACTTGATATCATAGTTAATATTCCACCAAACAAGTGTATTCTTAATATCTCCTTAAGATATCCAACAAATAACTCATTAACTGCTATTGCCTAATAATATTCTAAGGCTCAACTAACCAAGAACCACTATATCTATACACCTCTAGAGTATACTCTATTTTAGATCAATACACCATCACGTGGTGTGTGTGTAACATCCCAAAATTAAAGACCGGAAATTTCATTTTTACATAAGAAATTATAAAAACTAGAAGTATGAAACATCAGTAGTTTCAACTCATTTCATAATAAAAAACCAATATTTCAAATAACTCGAAACATGTCATAGAAAAGTAATATCAAAGTACCACTCCCAAAGATCTCATAAAAAGGAAATCATAGTGTGATGCGCTACGATCATGTCGGTTCCTTTCCTTTTGAAGAAGAAGTACCTGAAACCAAAACTGAAAACCGTAAGCACGAAGCTTAGCGAGTTCCCCCATCATACCACATACCATATAATAAACATACTGCTTAGCATATTAGGGTACTGGCCTACCCATTCGGTCTCTTTCAACCGGTAACCGCCTAGCATATCAGGGTGTTGGCCTACCCCTTCGGTCTCTTTCAACCGACAACTTCCTAGCATATCTGGGTGTTGGCCTACCCCTTCGGTCTCTTTCAACCGATAACTACCTAACATATCTGGGTGTTATCCTCCCCTTCGGTCTATCTGATTGGATACGGGGTTTATTTCACCCCTACCACTACCACATAATAACATACATAAACATACTGTCAGACATATGTAGGTGCTGACCTACCCTTTCGGTCTCTTTCAACCGGATATTGGGTCTATTTTACCCTTACCACTACCACATACATCATAGGACATAAGCACATAAATCACATCTATTAATGGCATACCATAAAGTTATAATAAAGACAACCATCTCTACTATAAACACCTACTAGTGGATCATCATTGGTGCCTTAGACCCACTGCTATCGAGAAGGTAACTCACCTCACATTGTTGAAGTGCCGAGGATAAAACTAGGAATGGCAACGGGGTGGGTTCAGGGTGGGGCAACGTATCCCATCCCCGAACCCGGTATCTAAATTTGTCCCCGACCCCGACTCGATACCCAACAGGTTTCTTATCGGGGCACCCCGTTGGGGCTAAAAATTTCCCCGAACCCGACCCTAAACCCGATAAAGACCCAAAACCTGAAATTTATGCCAAAAAATTGAAATTGTTTGGAAAAACTCCAATATAGTGAAAAATTAAAAACTTACACAAGCTCACAACACCAAATTAGACCATAACATCATACAATCAAATAAGAAAAACTAAATTCCTCAAAATAGTACATTACATTTAAAACAAACTCATAATCAAACATAACCATCCAAACTTGTTCCACAACCATTAAAGTGTAAGGTTTCTTCAAGGGTGTCCCTCCTTTACAGATAAAAAAAAACACTCCATAATGCTCTCCTAGAACTGACCACATTTTCCTACCTAACTCAAAAGGGAAGAATAAAGTAAGCACATCTAAAGGCTGTAGAGAAAACATACGGAAATATATGTGCTAATACAATATGACAAGCTTTATGTGCCATAAACCTCTTCTTTTCAACATATATATATATATATATATATATATATATATATATATATATATATATATATATATATATATCACATATTATGAAATGATTAATGACTATATGTGACAACCCGGAAATTTCTAGCTTACATTCTTCATTCTTATTAAAGTTAAACTCGTGTTTAGCACTGTTTGGAGTCTAATAAAGTGTTTAAAGCCTAGTATAAGTAGGGTAGTAGTTGTGGGATAAGCATTGTGGCTGTATCGCCTTGCATTTGGGCCAATCACACCACCACAAGGTGTGTGCGGCCGCACACAAGAATGTGCGGCCCCACACCCATCCCAACCACACACTCCCTCCTATATATTCAACACTTAGCCATTTGGAACACTTTTCTACACTTCTTCAAAGCTAGGACCCGAAATCCTCTCAAGTATCATCCAAATCTCCTTGAAAATCTTTATAAAAGGTAGCATCTTTAGCCAATAACACCAATAACACCAAGAACACTATGTGTTTATGGCCTCACACACATGTTGGCCGCACACACTGGCTGCACACCCTAGCTGCACACATACTTATAGTGTGTGTATTGACTGTACACTCCATTGTGTAGCCAAATACCCCTTATATGCAATCATTTATGGTTGTAACACTTCAATATAAGTGTTTCCTAGTCCCTAAGGTGGTCCCAATTCAATAATTAGTTGTTTTAAACACTAATTGTATTCATATATGTGTCATATATGTATAATAGGATCCGCGTGTGTGTTCAAGCCTTCACTTGACACCTATCATCCTGTACAATCTGTTCATTCAAACCACTCACTACAGGTGAGTTCATACCCCTTAATCAATGGTTTAAATGTTAATTAAATTCTTTTAGGGGGGGGGGGGGAATACAAGTTAAACAATTATAGTTATTATATCAATCACATGTGATTAATAACTACCAAAAGAGTAGTATTATTACTTGTTAAACTGTTTACCAAATTGTTTTACTTAAAACTGTTTTTCAAACTCTTTTACTTGTCAAACACTTTTACTTAAGCTCTTTGATACATATATATTGTCAAATGCCTGCCTATATATGTATAGTTATATAACAAATGTTTAAAGGACTTAGGAAGGCTAGCTAGTTTTAATTTCCTTTTCCTTGTTTGGATGTGGATTTGAGACATTGGTTATCCGTCCGAAGGTCGTTTAAATATTAATTGTATATCCTGGATACATATATAGTCATAAAAGTTCTTTCATTCAGATCCATACCTTTGGGTAGCAAAGGTATTCAATCATGATCATACAATGCTAGTAAACTACTATATGAGTAGTTTAGGAAGATACTAATACTACTACTAGAACAATGAAACATAAAATGAGTCAGTTCATACACGAGTCAAGAGATACAATGCCCTTGGGTAGAAAGGGTATACAAACATGTTAACACTATGATGAGAAAGAAACAGTAGATACTATGATGAGAAACAAATGATAGACACTATGATGAGAAACAAACATACAGGCTAGACAGAGAAAGAACACACAATACAACTAGCACACATATACATTACATTCAGTTATGTTATCCATTAAATGGGTCATGACACTACCTGCCATGACCGTTTTTGTACCCAGAATCTCCTTAATTGGGGAGCGTATGAGTTTGTGTATAGATCTATACTGAATTGACTATCCTACACCTTGTTGCTCGCTACAGTGGGACTTGCAAGTCTACGGGTGCCAAATGTCATTTCTTACGGTGTCTTACATCGTCGTTTTACTATTGAGTCGGTAGCAGGGTACAGGCCGATCACATGGTGCTTTAAATAACAATTGGTTTAAGGTAGTTAGTACAGTAGTAGTTACTTAATACAACACGACAATACTATAATATTTTTCCTAATACATTCACTTCGTGAACATTCACGCGACGCACGGTAATGTAAAAACTATATTGTTGGTTAATGATAGTCGGATTTGGGAAAATACACACTCTTACAAGAGACACACACACATTTACTAGATGCCTTGGTAGAAGGTTACTTTTAGTAGGAAACATAGGGTTTTATAGGATAGTTCAAACAAATACAAACTTTACAAAACTTATACATTACATCTTACAAACATCTTACAAATGCTTTCATACAAACGCAGACACTAATATACTTATGATCTCACCAGCTTTAAAGCTGATACTCGCTTTCAAAATAACTTGTATTCTCAGGTCACCAGTAGACAAGTACCGGTGCCAGGTTTTTGAGAAGATGGAGCCTGTTCAAGACTCCTATTTCATTTTGATGTACTTTTTGGTGTCTATATAACTTGACAGATCATACTTGTATGAAATTATATTATTAATGCAATAGATGATGTTGTTGCTTGTTTACTACTTTGCATTGTTGTGATATTATACATGACGTCCTCCACCCCTGAACGATTCCACCGTTTAGGTCTTGGGGTGTGACACTATATTACCACCAATTCAAAGATGTAAATTCTTACTCTTTATTCACATTTATGATGTTCTTTCTCAATTAGGAGCACACCCATTCCCTGCACATTAAAAAAACTCAACCACGATACTATTATACAGAGGAAAGAGAGCTTTAGTCTAGATTTAATAGTTAACACTTGATTTAATCAAAAATAAAAAATCATAATGAGAAATAAATTCAATGGTGGACATTATATCATTATCACATTATCATCATATAGTATGTTGTAAATTTCATTCAAATCTTTAGATCCATTCGTTTGATTCGTTATATACTAGTTACTTTTGAATCCTACGTTCTGAGTTCTGATTTTTAGTGTGCTATTCATTGTAACTTAACTTGATTTGATCGAGCAGTTATCCACACTTATTATTGAGGAGTACTGCCCGAGGGGCGAGATCCAGAAACTAGAGGAAGAACTGTGGAGCCTAACCATGAAGGGCTCCAACGTAGTCGCCTACACCGCCAGGTTCTGTGAACTGGTGGCCCTCTGTCCTAACATGGTACATACTGAGGGGAAGAAGATCGAGATATATATATTATATATATATATATATATATATATATATATATATATATATATAGATGGGGACTGATGCCACCGTACCAGGGAAATGTATTGGCTTCACATCCCACTACATTTGATAGTGCCAAGTGATTGGCACATCGGCTAATTGACCATGGGGCTCGTACCCCGGCCGCAACAACAACAACCACCCTGGCCATTTCAGAACCTGTCAGAACCGCTGAGTCCAAGCGGAAGTTTTGGGATGACAAAAAGAAGACAAAGGCTGCCAAAAAGCAGCAGGTCATGGCAGTCCATGCTGCGATAGCACCTGCCGCTGCTGCTCTGGTCAGGCAGTATTCTGGGAGTTTGCCCAATTGCAACAAATGCAACTTCCATCACGTGGGAGCCTGCCGGGAAATGTAGTGTGTAAACTGCAACAGAAAAGGGCACACAACCCGTTTCTGCAATGCTCTGGCGAGGCCAATCACCCAGGTCCCCGGTGCTGGAGTGGGCCAAACTTGCTACGGATGTGGCGAGGTAGGCCACTTCAAAAGAAACTGCTCGAAGGCAGGGTTTGCCGGTGGAGCAGCAAGAGTTCTGGCCATAGGCCATGAGGAAGCGGTTGCCGACCCCACAGTGGTCATTGGTACGTTCCTCCTCGATAACTCTTATGCATGCATTCTATTTGATAGTGGAGCGGAGAGGAGTTTCGTGAACCAAAATTTTTCTCATTTACTTAGGCAAAAGTCACGAGCACTTATTGAACCGTTCACTATAGAAATGGCTAATGGAAAGACAGAGAGCACTAGCAACATATTCATAGGGTGTACCCTAACTTTAGATAGCCATTCATTTTCGATCGATCTCATGCCGGTCTCCATTAAAAGTTTCGACGTCATTATCGGCATGGATTGGTTGAGTCGTCATCATGCCGATATCATGTGTTACGAAAAGGCCGTTCGCCTAAATCTGCTGTCTGGCGAAACCTTAGTAATTTATGGCGAAAAACCCGGCATGAACCTTCGTATCATCTCAATCATCCAAGCTCAGAAATTCTTGTGAAAGGAATGTCGTGCATTCCTTGCTCATGTGGTCGATGTGAGCCAAGAAACGAGAGACATTCAAGACATTCCAGTGGTACGTGACTTTCCTGACATTTTTCTAGAAGAACTTCCAGGATTACCTCCTCAACATCAAGTCGAGTTCCGTATCGACTTAGTTCCAGGGGCTACCCTAGTAGCCAAATTGCCCTATTGTCTAGCACCTGCAGAGATGCAAGAATTGTCTTGTCAACTTAACGAACTGCTCAGCAAGGGCTTTATAAGACCAAACTTCTCACCCTGGGGAGCTCCAGTCTTGTTCGTCAAGAAGAAAGACGGATCATTTCGTATGTGCATCGACTACAGGAAGCTCAACAAACTTACTGTCAAAAATCGTTATCTGTTGCCTCGAATCGACGATTTATTTGATCAACTTCAAGGAACGAACTTATTTTCAAAAATCGACTTAAGATCCAGATATCACCAACTATGAGTGCTAGGGGAGGATGTTCCGAAGACAACCTTCCGAACCCGTTATGGGCACTACGAATTCGTAGTGATTCCATTCGGGTTAACAAACGCGCCCGTAGTATTCATTGACTTAATGAATCAGGTGTGTCGTCCTTACTTGGATCAGTTCGTCATCGTCTTCATCGATGACATACTTTATCTACTCTCGTAGTAAGGAGGAGCATAGTCAACATCTGCGACAAGTCCTCGAAACATTACGTTCGAAGAAGCTCTACGCGAAGTTCTCAAAATGTGAATTTTGGATTCAACGAGTCGAATTCTTAGGGCACGTGGTTAGCGAAGAGGGAATACACGTGGACCCTTCCAAAATCAAAGCCATTGAGAACTGGTCATCACCGAAAACGCCTACAAAAATTCGTCAATTTCTAGGCCTCGCTAGCTACTAGCTCAGG